GCACTCCAGCCTGGCAATGGAGCGAGACTCCTCAAAAAAAAAAAAAAGAAAAAAAAAAAGAAAGCAATTGGTCTGAACTTTCCATCGAATACTAAAAATGCATAATTTAATTAGAATTTAAATTAATGTGAATAAGCAAAATCCAAATTTTGGAGATCATAATTAACAGTGGTAACTGACATGCTTTTATTAATAAAAGACATGTAAAAGAAATGTGTATACACAAATGAATTTAAAATGGAAAATAGTTTCAATACTTTTTCAGTATTTATCTCACAATGAATTTAATGTTCATTTAAATTTAAGATGAGCATATAAATCAGAGCAAGGTGATTCAAAAAAAGTATTTAAGGTGATGAAATATATTTCATGTATGACTTCAACATGAACTTTTATTGTTTAATTTTGATTACAGGGCCTTTTCACAAAGTTCTAATACATCTGAAATATGTACCTTAAATCAACACCTATATTATTTCAGGATGTTAACTGGATCATAGCATTTACTTGCATTAAAAATTATGCAGCATTGATTGGAAAATCAAGTGAAAAAATTGAAGCAAAGTGGAAGAATGGTGGGATAGAATGATTAGCAAACTCTTGTTGATTTAAGGTTAGATGTTAAAATAGAAGTGAAGTTTTATATTTCTGGTACCAAAATCTGTTAATATTCTAATAACTTGACTTCTGTTTATGAGAGATAAGTTCATTATCAGAAGTACTAAATACATTGTCAGTTATAATTATATCAGAGTGGTTTGACAAGGATTTTAAAAAATCAGTGGCAAATGATATAACTGTAGTATTTTTAATTCTGCTATGTGTTTTAGGTATTTGTGAAGTGTCATTTTGATTATAATCCATACAATGATAACCTAATACCTTGCAAAGAAGCAGGATTGAAGTTTTCCAAAGGAGAAATTCTTCAGATTGTAAATAGAGAAGATCCAAATTGGTGGCAGGTTAGTATGCTTCTCAGAATTTCCTCAACTACTTTTCTATTTTTAATCTTAGATCTGGTCAATATCTGAATATTCAGGAAGAATATTAGTATTTATATTAGTATTAGCATTTGTTACAATGATTTTTCCCACATGAACAGCTCCTGCTTCATGGCTACTAATTTTGTGGACGTGAGATCAAATTGGGAGGGAATTTGTGAGTATCTTAGTAAGTACAGAATTAACCAGCCTTTGCACCAACTCATTGGTTTAGGGAGTAGACCAATTGGTTTTTTCACATGGGTAATTGCCTTAAAATATGCTGTTAGGCAAGAACTCAATTGGGACGTCCCTTTTCAAAAGATATTTGGGTTTTGTTATTTTAAGCAGGAGTCTTTTACTATGAAATAGTCTTTCTCTTGTCTCCTCTTCCTCTTGTTTGTCATGACTAGTAAAGCATAATTTCTTAAGGTCTTAATGTGTATTTGCTCACCTCTTCTCAGATACTGGGAAATGAAGGTTTGCTCTATCAGTTTGGTTTGGGTTTAGATTAAAATCTGTGTATATAGAAAGAGATGTGTATTATCTCTGCATTTTCCCCTCCTTTTTTCAGAAGATCTTTGTAATGGTATTCTTTTTTTCTTCTCCTAATGTTGTAGCTTTCAGAAACCCCTAGCAGCAGTAATAAGTCTGTTTTTGTAATTGTATTAGCTAACAACCACAATATTACAATATTGAGAACTGGAGAAACTGGCAAGTCAGGAAGTCTGAAATGCCTTAAACTATCAAAGCAAATGAGAGTCTTACTAAAGAACAAGGAGTGGGAGGAAGGGATCCAGAACTTAGCACCAAATTCCAAAATTAACTGAGTTATTGGTAACTCACATTAGATCTAAAAAATGTATCTACTTCTAAGGGGAAACAAATCACAGAATGAGAACAATCTTACTAATGTGTCCTTAAATGTAAATTAAGACGTTACGTATAAGTGCACTATTTGTTGAGACAGCTAAGAAATGGGGAGATTAAAAATAATTCATGATTTCGAGAGGTCTCCACTGAATTTTTTTAGATCCGTCATTTAAAAAAATCTCTCTGGCTGTTTCCTTTATCAAATTATTCCTGGTTTTGTT